GCTGATTACGAGCCCCCGCCTCCGCCCCGGGGCTATAAAAGCCTTGCCACCTGCTGTCGTGGCTACAGCGCGTCCGTTTGCCTGGAGGAACCAAGCTAGGGACTCTCGCGGCTGCCGGCCTGGATATGGACCCTGAGACCTGCCCCTGTCCTACTGGTGAGCCCCCTCCCCGCTCCTGCAGCACTTTGCCCTTACTGGCAAAGAACCCCACCCTGGTATCTTCACCCAAGGACATTTGGTGGAGGAGCCCTTGCTTCCCATCTTTAACCCTGTGATAGAGATAATTGGAGTTGGCTGCCCATCTACTTTTAGGCCTGGGGTCGTCAGGTTTTTCTACTTTAACCCTTCGTGTTGCTTCCTAGGAGGTTCCTGCACCTGCTCGGACAAATGCAAGTGCAAGGGCTGCAAATGCACCAACTGCAAGAAGAGTGAGTGCACCCCTCCTTTGCCCACCCTAACCCCGCGGCATCCACCCCACCCCCCAGACACTAAGTAGCAAAGCTTCCTGCTGCAGACCGTTGTATCAACGATGTTAACACAGTAGGCCGGAGTGTGTGGGAGGGGATATTTTGATGGAATTCTGGAAAATAGCAAAAGGGAGCTGACTTGAGAGCGGATTCCCTGCTCGAGCCCTCCTATTTAATTTTTCCAGTGCCTGGGGAGCCTCAAGAAAAATGGGGGGTCAGCTCTAGAGTTGCAGTTCCTTGGCCCCTCTCAGGCTTGTGGGTCTTCTCAATTTGCTGTCTCATGGCAATAGAATATGCTTGGGGGAGGGGTAGACGTGGAAGCAATGCTCCCTTTTCTTGGGTGTGACTAGGCATGGATCCCATGGTTTCCTGGCCTCAGCACCATCCGTGCCCCTCCAGCCCTATGGGGCAAGTCCCCCTCGCAATACCTTTCATATTGACATGGCTTCTCCCTAACACCTAACTTCTCCCTCAGCCCAGGCCTGAGCCCAGCATTGCCAGGGAGTTTCCTAGCACCCACCCAGGGGGTTGGGACTCTCAATAGAAAGCCAGCAGCAAAGGCAGCACCACAGATGCTGTCCTCTGCAAAGCCGGATGACTCCCTAGCTTCCCATATTCTTTCCCCCACCCTTTGATGAAAACAGGTAAGGGCATCAGAAACAGAAAGGCACACGCACATTCCCCCACCCCGCCTCATTTTATCTACAGGCTGCTGCTCCTGCTGCCCTGCAGGATGTGAGAAGTGTGCCAAGGACTGTGTGTGCAAAGGTGAAGAGGGGGCCAAGGCAGAGGCGGAGAAATGCAGCTGCTGCCAGTGAGCATTGAGTCCTTCCCACACAGACTATGTAAATAGTGCTGGGTATCCATGGTGGGGCATGGCTATTGTCCCCTTCCCTGGCTGCTTGCTCAGGAATGTGAATAAATCCCATGCACAGCATGAACCAAAGACTGGTCTCTTTTTCAAGTGGGAAGGATGTGGAAGGGTGGGGGAGCCCACTCCACAGAACCCATCCAGCAAAAAGTAGAAGCCTGAGATTTAGGTTTCCATCTGTTAGAGACTAGGACAGAGCCCTGAAGACAGTAGACATATGCACATACACACACACACACACACACACACACACGCAGGTGCACGAACACACAGAGGCACAGTCGTGTGGCATTCCCTCCCTTGAAGTCCATTTCAGTTCTGGGAAAAGATGGCAGGCCACACCCATAGAGGTTCAACTCTCCACCCTTAAAAACTTCACTTCATCTGTATGGTAGGGCTATAGGGAATTAAAACAAGCCCCTGACCCCAAACACAGTGATTTCTGGAATTTTCTAGTTGCTCCTACAAAATTGCCAACTTTCAGATATTAGCGGAGAATCCAGGGTGGCCCTGAACTTTATCTTGGCAGATAAACTGTGTTTCCAAGGTCACCTCCCTGAATAGCCAGCCTGTCTCTCCGACACAGATCACTCAGCCCCTTTCACACCTCATTTGTTTGTCTACAACTCCCCATCCCCCCCTTTTCAAGGAAAAGTATGGTAATAAGAGCTTGTATCCTAAGTCGAGATGGTCAGTCCTTAATGAAAGGGGACTCTCAACCCCACCCGGGCTGCCTGAAATAGGAGCAGACAGTGGGGTGGCTGAAGCTGCCTGTAAGGGGATCCTGGGCTGTAAACACATCAGTTTTCCTCCAACTTAGTTTTTCAGGACATTCCATTCCAGAGCTCCACACTATTGTTTTCACTCTAATAGGCTGAGTTGAAAGAACAGCCAGGTCAGCTTTCACAGGAGCAGCAAGATGCTCCATCCAACCTGCCACCTTCTGGCTCCAAAGCTCTGGGAAGTGATGGTACTGGCTCTCACTAGATCAGCCAGCCACAGAAAGCCCAAAAGCAGACCCTTGGGCTGATGAGATGGCTCAATGTATAAAGGCACTTGGCACCAAGTGATGACCTGAGTTCAGTTCCCAGAAGCCACATGATGGAAAGAGAGAAACATCTTCCAAAAGTTGTACTCTAACCTGTATACAATCACCACGGTATGTGTGCAAACACAAACACACACACACACACACACACACACACACACACACGGGGGAGGGGGGGGCATTAAAATTCAAAACCAGACCCTTGTGCAGTCAGAAGTTCGAGAAAATTAATAGAGAAAGAGACACTCACTAGTTGTGGTTGTTAGAACAATTAGACACCCTTTGTGTATCACAAAAAAACAAATCTCAACCTATATAAACACAGAGAAGCAACATCAAAAGCTAGAAAGAGATCTGGGAGAGAGAAAGCAGGAAAGTGTTTTTCACTTCGGGGTACAGGCACATTTTAAAAGAAAGAAAATATTACCACATATGGTGGCACATACCCCCATTTGGAAGCTGAAGCAGGAGATTTGGAAGTTCAAGGCCAGCCTGGACTATGCAGTAAGACTACCTCAAAAATTAAATAGTGTGTGTATGTGTATTTAGGTGTGTGTGTGTGTGTGTGTGTGTGTGTGTGTGTGTGTGTGTGTATGTGTGTGTAGTGTGTGTGTGTTTGGGTCCGGATATGCATGTGGAGGCCAGACATGTCATTTTCAGGTGCCATCTACCTTGCTTTCTGACATAGGGTCTCTCACTGGAACTTGAGCTGTCCTGTTTAGTTAGGCTATCTGGCCAGCCAGATCCACGGCTCTGCCCATGTCTGACTCTGCACACACCACCATACCACTTTTTCTATGAGTCCTGGCAGATCAATGCTCACCTAGAACCATGTCCTTTTAAGTATACTATTTTGCTGAACCTTACCACTCTATAAAACTGTGTGGCTGTTACAGCCATTGTACAGGGGACGGTGGAACCCAGGGTAATGTGCATGGGGGTCACAGCACTAGAATTTACCAGAACCAGGATGAGAATTCAAGCCTAAAGTCTAGGACCCTAAGTTTAACTATGCATAGTTTTCAGTCTTCTGGCTTGTCTAACATTACAAAAAAAAAAAAAAAAAAATCAGAACAACTAATTACTTCATGTCCTCTAAAGATGACTAGTGCAATAAGCTGGGCATGGTGTCACAGGCTTATGATGTCAGTATTCGGAAGGCTGACGAAGAGGAGTTTGAGGCCAGTCTGGGTTATATAACAAGAACCTCAAATATATGGAAACAGGGCCTGCGGAGATGACTCAGCAGTTTAGAGCACTGCCCACTCTCCCAGAGGACTTGAGTTTGGATCCCAGCATCCACATAGAAGCTCACAATTGTCTCTAACTCCAATCCCAGGGAACCCAATGCTGTCTTCTGGCCTCCCTGGGCACCAGACATACATGGTATACAGACTTAATGCAGACCAAACACCCATATGTCGTGACCCAGCATGTCTCAGCCTTAGTCCATGAGGTTCTACCTGAGTGGGGGGCGTGTGGACCTGGAAGCTTCGAGGAACCCAACAGCGATAAAGACCAAACACAGGCATCTTGACATCTTCAGAGAACTCTCAGTTCCATGTTGTGGAACTAGAACCATTTCTTTATTAGCCATCTTTTCTGGTGTCTCTTAACCATCCTGCTAATACTACGAGGCAACCATTTCTCTCTTTGTTCTCCTCTCTGCTCTGGCCCTTCGCCCCTTCACTCCCAACCTTCTGTCCTCAAGTTACTCACATACCTCTAGCTCCTCTGCCCAGGTGAGGGCCTATCCAGATGCTTAGGTGTATAGATATGCAAATAAGGAGGCATATTATCCTGAGGCCATGGTAAACAAAAGTAGCCCTGCTGACATTAACAATACAATAGTGGGCCAGAGTTTCCTGGAGCCACTGCTATAGACAGCCAGAGCCTGGGACCCAAAATATTCCATAACAGGGCTATTCGGTCCCCCACACCCATACACATAAAATTAATATTTATAATAAAATATTTTATTAGAAAATCCACAACAATCAATAAAATAGAAAAGTGTTGATCACAGTGTGGAGAAACTGTGATCCTTGTATTGTGCTGGTGGGAATAAAAACTTGGATAGCTGCTATGAGAAACAGCCCAACTGATCCTCAAAATTTAAAAATAGAATTATATGATCCAGCAATTCCACTTCTGGAATTAAAAATAGGATCTCTTCCTTCCCCTTGTCCCCTTCCTCTTTTCCTCCTTCTACTTCACCTCTCCCTCCCTCCCTCTCCCTTCCTCCCTCTCTTTCCTTCTCTTTTCCTCTCCCCCTCTCCTCTCTGCAGTTCAGACTAGCTATAGAGTTGCCATCCTCCTGCCTCAATCTCTGAATTAGTTTCCTCATCCCTGTGCATAAACAAATTCCGGAAGGCAGGCTTTATTCTAGCTCTCATTGAGGGCATGGTCCATAGCTGCAAGGTTGCCATGGCGACAGTGGGAGGCAGCTGGTCACACTGCATCCTCACTCAGAAAGCAGAGAGATGAGTGCTGGCGCCTAGCTTACCACAGGCTCTTTTCTTTCGGTCTGGACCCCAGCCCAGGGGGTGGCGATGCCCATAGTTAGAGTGGGTCTTCCTACCTCTATTAACCTAGCCTGAAAACTTCCTCACAGAAATGCCCGGAGGTTTGTCTCCTATGTGTTTCTATATCCTGCCAAGTTGACAATCAAGATTAAACATAAATTAATAATGAACCATAAGTTCAACTTACGAGTTGAAAAAAAAAAAGCTTCAGGTCAGAATATGTAAAACAAATTATGTAAAAGGGAAAATATAAGCCACCATGTTGATATATACATGTACAGCGGTATATATGCACAGGAAGGGAACAGAATCTTCCTGGAGAATTTCGAGGAACAGGCTTCATTTGCTCCACTAATCTGGGGCATGCTTTGTAGCTCAGGTTGGCTTCAAATGCTCATTCCTCCTGCCTCAGCCTTTTGTATGCTGGAATTACATCTATCACCATGCCTCACCTGTTTAATTTTTTTGTTTGTTTTTTGTTTTTTGAGACAGGGTTTCTCTGTGTAGCTTTGGAGCCTATCCTGGCACTCGCTCTGGAGATCAGGCTGGCCTCGAACTCACAGAGATCCACCTGCCTCTGCCTCCCGAGTGCTGGGATTAAAGGTGTGTGCCACCAATGCCCCGCTGCCTGTTTAATTTTTAAATATGCAAGTGATTACTCCAACTTACCTTATTTTTTTCTCTCAATCACCCAAATAAGATCAAGGCATGGTGGCATATGCCTGCAATATCCACTCGAGGGCAGAGAATTGCCATAAATCTGAGGACAGCTTGATACAGTGAACCATGGGGCAGCTAAGGATACCTAGCAAAACCTTGTCTTTAAAAAAAAAATCAGAAGCCAGGCAGTGGTGGCATATGTCTTTAATCCCAGCACTCAGGAAGCAGAGGCAGGCAGATCTCTTTGAGTTCGAAGCCAGCCTGGTCTACAGTGAATGCCAAGACAGCCTAGTCTACAAAATAAAATAAAATAAAATAAAATAAAATAAAAACCAGGAGATCTTTAGCTCTTTCCCTGTTAGGAAATAAAAAAAACTAATGCAAGTTATAGTTCCATAGATTGGATATTAGAGACTATTTAACTCCTCCTCCAGAGCTTGGGCTACAACTCTGGGCAGAGTGCTTACTAACATGCCCAGGGAAATGAATTTGATCCCAGCACTCCAAAAAAGAGTGAAACAAATGTGCTGGCTAGTTTTAGATCAGCTTGACACAGCTGGAGTCATCTTAGAGGAGGGACATCAATTAAGAAAATGCCTCCAGCCAGGCGGTGGTGGCACACACCTTTAATCTCAGCACTGGGGAGGCAGAGGCAGGTGGATCTCTGTGAGTTTGAGGCCAGCCTGGTCTACAAAGCAAGTTCCAAGATAGCCA